CCCCACCCCACCCCATCCAAAAGTGTAATAAAAAACATGAGAAGGAGTTATGATGTGATGGTGGCCCTGTTAAAATACATATAAACAATATATAAAAATATATAGACATTGGATTTATGACACATTATATCCTGCCTAACATCTGATTCCCTAAGTACCTCTCCACTATTTACCAGCTACATTTTTCCCCTTCCCCCAACCTGTTTCTCACCCATTGACTCCTCAACTTACATTTTCACCAGCTGCCTTTCTTGCATGCAGACCAGCCTCTGGCGTCTTTACTATTCATTCCATACAGGAAGAGCACACACCAACTGCAGATGCTTCCTTAGCATGTAGAAGGGTATTTGTACCTGAAAGCTTGCAAAGGAGAATTTTTCCAGTTACTTGAATGGTATAATAAAGGCTATCAGATCTACCCAAAGAACCTTGTCTGCCTGTTAAAAATAATTCAGCGTTCAATTAAAAAAAAAACTTTCAGTGTAGATTTATGGGCTATTGGGAAGAAAATGGTATAAATTTAAAAAAGAAATCCAAAATATATCTCAATTCCTGGTATATACTATATTTAAGAATTAGGGCTTTCTTAAGAATGAACAAATTATTCTTAATTTCTTAAGACAAAGATTTAATTAGGGAAGACTAAGACAGAGATCAAGGAAAAAGACTCTTTAAAATTTGTTTTTTTCCCCCAAGACTAAGTAAATTCTTAGATTATAAATATTTCTAACACTTGTACTATCATAACCAATGAAATAGCTATCACTAAGATAAAAAATCTTATATATTCTGAAAATTTGTAAGAGGGCTTTGTTTCCTGATTATGAACAGTTTCTCACTTCTTTTTTCCCCCCTTAAAATAACTGTGCATATTCCTACAGGGAATTATGACCTAATCTATTTACTGGAATTAGACAACGTGGCTGATTCTCCATTCCCTCATCCCAGTGTCAATCAAGAACAAATTCCCTAAGTGTCCAAGGGGCAGGTTTTTTACCCTAGTGGAAATCAGGAATTAGTGGTTTGGAGTAAGCAAGTCTGATTCTTTTCTTTCTCATCTTGGTGTCAATCAAGGTTAAGAACACTGGAATCCACTTACAACTACATTTTCATTTCTAGCATGGTTCTTACCCAGGGAGATCAAAGTCTTTCTGGTAACTGGGACTTCCATCCCATGGGAAATTTCAGTAGTCTCAAAATTAATTTAATGTAGAATCAGAAAGAGAAATTCTATCATTTAGACATTTGCTGGTTGCAAATGGACATTTACAAAAAATTTGGTATGATCAACTAAATGTAAGGTCAGTTTTCACCTAAACATGTGGTCCATTCTCTTTTTGCAGACAAGGTTCTTTGGGTAAATCTGATATCTTTTATTAGACCAATTCAAATAGCTAGCTAAGAAGAATTTTTCCAACTATCAGGCACAAACGCCCTTCGTCAGGCTGAGGAAGCATCTGCAGATGGTCTGGGCTCTTCCTGGATGGAGTGGTAAAGCAGCCAGAGGCCAGTACATATGCAAGAAAGACAATTTTTCTAACTATTTGAGTTGATCTAATAAAAGATATTGGAATTACCCAAAGAACCTTGTCTGACTATCCAACACGGCCACATTCTCTTTTTGACTTTTAAACACATATAAAAATGAAAAAAAAAAAAACCCTTAAAAACGTGAAATGAGTCACCAAGAATGTTTCTACTGATGAGTTCTTGTTTAGATAAACCTAAGCATGTGTTTCTGACTTTGACTTTATAAAATATTAATTAAGTAAAAATATATAAAATGGCAAAAGGTAAAGAAACATTCCTTATTTTGAGAAATGTCATCATTTTCATCCCCAATTTGAACTGAAGAAAACTAATGGAAAGAAAATATGTAAAAGGAAATAGATGTAAATGTAAATTCATTTTGAACGGAAGAATTAAAAAATATTATATTACATCGTGTTAATGTATCACAAGGCTTTTCATAGATGCATAGATTCATAGATTGTGGGGCTGGAAGGGACATTGCAAGATCATCGGAGCCACCCCTTGCACTAGGCAAGAAAGACAACTGGGGTCCCCAGCAAGGTGACCATCCAGTCTCCTCTTGAAGATTTCCAGGGTGGGTGACTGCACCACCTTTGGCGGGAGTTTATGCCACAGTCTAGGCACCGTGACTTTTTCCTAGTTTTAGAAGTTTTAGAAGTTTCCTAGTTTTCCTAGTTTTAGAATTTTTTCCTAGAGTTGAGCCTGAAGCTGTCTTCCAGGAATTTGTGGCCATTACTCTTGGTTTTCTCTGAGCTGTTGGTGTATTCCCCTGGTGAAGCGGTAAGCTGCTACCAAGTCCCCTCTTAGCCTTCTCTTTTTTAGGCTGAAGAGGCCCAAGTCCCTCAGCCTCTTCTTGTATGTCCCTGATCATGGTCATTGGTGGCAGTTCCCCAGACCGGTGCTTGCTGCCCCAATGCAGCCCTAAGCACAGTGCCTAAACACTGTTCCACTGCAATTGCTGCTGGTCCTACAGATCTGGCCTGGGAAGAGCTCTTGTGGTCTGGATCCAAGATCCTGGCAAGTTTGACACCTCTGATTTTCATTGATTTAAACAAACCATTTAATTGCCTTCACCTGATGTTTGTTGTGGTCCCTCCCCACTCTCCCTATGTTTAAGTTAATGCTAAATTTAAATATTTAATTCTCATTTCCATCTGGCACAAGAAGACATTGAATTTTTGTCTTTCCCATATGGATCATAGACGAGCTAACATGTCCAGTTTTGAAAATTTCCCTTTAAATCCTTTGCAAAATTCCTTTTCTTGTTTGGTTGGATCTACTGATCAGATTTACTCATTGCAGGCTCAGACTCCATCTGAGTGAGGGGGAACATTGGCAACCCACAGGCAGTTACTTCTGATTTAGTCCACAAAGCACCAACAAAGAATTTGGTGCATGGATTCCAGTGGAGCTACACTTAATTTACACTGTGGTCAAAGAAGAAAACAATCCAACCGTATGACTCCTGATTTACACTGGGATGAATGTGAAAGGATAGTCATCCGTGCTGATTCGAGTCAACAAACCAGGTCAGAATTCCCAGTGGAGTTGCAACCAGCTATTTAATAAACAGAGTTTCCCTTGATTTTAATTAAAGGAGATGGATCTGTGTAATAAGTCTCCAGATCATAAAAGAAATCTCTTCTTGTTCAGGGAAGGAAACTACACATTTGTAAGGAAACAAGAATTAGACTGAGACCAATGATCTGAAATCACTGCTCTCGGTCTCGAAACAAGTTTTAATCTTTTTTTCCCGCTTGCTTTCTTATGTTTGTACTTTCATTCCTTCATTGTTTCTTGTTACATGTACTTTGGACTGTTTCCTTATAGAATTTGCTAGAAAAAAGTGTGGACACTACAAAAAAAAGGAAATAATTCATTACTTAAGTTTCTTGTTTTTATAGTGTGAGCATCAAGACTTTCTCATACCTTGGTTAAAACAATCTGGAAAGCTAAATTTCATAATTACACCTGTTGTAGTTTTTTAAGGAACTGACTTTTTATTTAAAGAGTTATATTGGATTCTTTCATGAGATTGTGAGCTTCTGATTATATGACTGGATAATCCCTGCATGTTGGGAAGAATGTGATAGTCTTATTACTTTGCTTACTTCATAGGGAAGGATAGAAAGTGAGTATATATTTAACTCATGCCTGCATGTTACAATTGTACATTTCAGTAAAATGAAACCTCAGTATTAAGATAGTTGGATCTGTCTTTTGATTTGAGTCTCTCAAAGACAGATGGATGGATGGATGGATGGATGGATGGGATAAAACGAAAAAATGCTTCAACAAAACACATAGGCCACATTATTCAATCCAGTGGAAAATTAATTTCACAAGTAGGTCAGCTTCATTTTTGCCCTGTGTAGTTGGTTATGGGAACACAGAAAAATGCTGCAATACAGGGTCAAAGGGTCCTCCTGCCCTTCAGAACCCATGTGGCAAGTATGGTTAAGATACTGAGGGAATTGGTGTGTTTAGCATCCTATCCAGTTGCCTTTGACATTGTAGCCCAAATGGTCAGGTTCCCTTTCATAATTTCATAGTTGTTAGGGGCTGGAAGGGATGTTACAGATCATCTTACTGTTGAGTTAACTGTCCCGAAGACAAGGCTATGGGTAGACTCATACTAACACCTCTGGAGCTATGGCCATGTAACAACTGCAGCACAGAAATTATTATTCCACAATCAACCCCTTACAAATGCTGTTTAATGGAGCTGTCACTCAGTGACAAGCTGGTGCTGGTGCTGTAGACTTTCCTTGTAGTTATTCTGTCAAGATATTGCTCTAGCATACTTAGATTGTACTTGTGACTGTCATGTTTCATTAGTCTTATTAGAGCATGTATATTAATAGCTTGGGCTAACTGAAACATAAATAAACCAATACAAAAAATGAGGTTATAGTAGATATGTTAGGCCTCAGACGAATTTAGACTTTCAGTAATGCCAATGGCAAAGTTATAGCAGTTGGAGTCCGGACTATTTACTTAAGGTGATCCCTAGGCACTATACATGCTGGAAAGACCCAAGGCAATTTTTCTTGCTTTCAAGAAAAAAAAAATTCCAACAAAAAAATTAACTATAAGACTGAATAACTGAAATTATAATACAGATGTGATAAATTATGTTACGAAAGACCCAAGGCAATTTTTCTTGCTTTCAAGAAAAAAAAAATTCCAACAAAAAAATTAACTATAAGACTGAATAACTGAAATTATAATACAGATGTGATAAATTATGTTACTCTGAAGTCAGACAGAAGGTAAGGCAGGGTAGCACCTTATAGACTAACTGCCATGAGCTTTTGTAGATAACAACCTACTTCATCAGATACTATGGAAGGATTTACAGCTTTGGACAAAACAAATTGTTGCTTACAAAAAATCATGGGTCTCTTAACTAGCTAGTCTCTAAAGTGCTGCCATGCTCTAGCTTTTGGTAAAATTATAGCAATTTTTCTACTCAAAATTGTTTATATTTCCACATAGATCTGTATCTGTCCATGCCTCCTTTCATCAGTCCATCCATTTCTGAAGATTTGGTTCCCATGCTGGTCCATGCTGCCCAATGTGTCTCTTCTTTATTTGAAGTTCATGAAAGATTTCTTTCTTGTATCAGCTTCAGTTCCACTCCTCTGTATTGATCTTTCATTTTTTGTTGACCTGTTCACTGGCATCTGCTTCTGTTTAGGCCCTATTATTTATGTCTTTCAAAACTACACTATGAACTTCAAGCTTGTCTTCCTTTCTTGCTTTTCCTTCAATCTTCAGCTCAATCATTATTGTCTTGAGAGTAATTTTAGGCTGCAGGAAATATTTTTTTAGAATATTGGTTTATTTGATTAGCAGCAAAATAGTGCATAACTGGCATTTTAGATGTATTGCAGTCATACAGATTTTTATTTCCGTATCTACCAATTTACTTCTGTCCTCAATCCTCTGTCTGTTTGCTTCTCTCCCAGGTATGTCTTCCTATATGAATCAATGACTGTTATCATCCTATCTAATGTGTTAATACTTTACTTGCAGGATATTCAGTCTCTATTTTTCCATTGTTTTGCTACTTACACACAATGCTTGAAGCAAGACATGGGAGAGGAGAATCAAACCATGGTGGCTGAATTCATATTCACTGGATCTTCCAATCAGCTCATAACAAGGATAATATTAACTGGATTCTTCTTTTTGGCCTACTTGGTAACCCTGCTTGGAAATGGCCTCATCATCCTTCTCACCATATGTGATCCTCACCTTCACACCCCCATGTACTTCTTCCTCAACAATTTGTCCCTTCTGGACATCTGCTATTCATCAAGCATCATCCCACAAGCACTGGTAAATTTCTCAGTTGAGAGACCAACCATTTCCTTCGCCAGGTGTTTCTGTCAGATGCTAATCTCACTCTTTTTAGGATCCACAGAGTGCTTCCTGCTGGCAGTCATGGCTTATGACCGCTATGTTGCCATCTCCAACCCACTGCGCTATACAGTTATAATGAGCAAGACACGTTGCATCCACCTGGCACTGGCGTCCTGGATAGTCACAATCCTGCTGACAGTTGTCCCTTTTTTTGTGATGCCATCGCAATTCTGTGGAAAGAATGAGCTTGACCATTTCACGTGTGAAGTCCTTGCTGTAATGAAGCTGGTTTGCTCAGACACCTCCAAGAACCAAATCTTCATGTTTGCCAGTGCATCACTTACCCTCTTTGCTCCTTTCTTCTTCATCCTGTTCTCTTACATGCGCATCATCATGACCATCTTAAAGATTCACTCATTGGATGGCAGGTCCAAGGCTTTCTCCACCTGTGGCTCCCACCTGACTGTGGTGACCATATTCTATGGAACAGCCATGTTCATGTACCTCAAACCCCAGTCCAAGTCATCGCAAGAGCAGGACAAGATAATAACTGTGTTTTATGGGATCGTGACGCCCATGTTAAACCCTCTAATCTACACACTGAGAAACCAGGAAGTGAAAGCGGCCCTGCAGAGAGTCACTGGGAGGAAAAGAAATACTTAGAGTGATTGCTGTATGGTCTTTCCCCTGACCCTTTAATCCTTTGATACTTTGTCTACTCTAAGGCACTTTCATGGGACAATCAAGAAAAGATACAGAACCTGTTTTTTTATGTGACAACTGATGTTTTTCTAAGTAAATATTTTAAACTTCTTTTGGCATGACAGGAACATTTATTATTTGGTTTATTCATATTTAGTGATTGACTAACAAAAAAAAATGGTAACGTGATTCTCCAAGCACTAGCTGCTATGTATGTCTGGGGTATTGTATGAGAGCTCCACCTTCACTTTGGTTAAACAGGAAAACTTCTTATCTTTCAAATGATGGCTTCCTAAGGGCTGAACACCCAATATGGTTATACAGGTCATTTATAGTTTAGTGGGCTTCATCCAAGTGCAGAGTAGGACTGGGGTATCAGATTTGGGGCCATTTCAGGAGAAGTTACGGGCAAGAACTTATATGGTTGAATAATTCTACCAATTTTTCTGTACCTCAAGCAACTGTTTGGATCATACTACAAATGCTCTTCTTTGCTCAGTGTTTGCCCTGATTTATGCGACTGTATGGTTTTCATATATTCCCCTGGTGGAACAAATATGGTCAAAGAAAAAATCAGCACAGACTTGGGGTCTCAGAATCAGAAGGAATATAACACTTGAGGTGTTAGGATTATACTCTTCTAGATTCACATGAGTAAACACAAAAAGTTTCCTAGTGTGCATATGATCATGTGAGTGGGGTTGTGCAAGAAAATATGCAGTAACAAACAGACATGCCCTACACCAATAGGGGCCAACCTTTTTGGCAGGCATGCCATACATTTGCTCCTAATGATCCCTATGTGCCACTCTGATCCCCTTCCCCTTCCCAGTTTGCTCCTTGTCCTGTGGTCCCTTCCTGATTTGCTGCTCTGCTTTCTTCTCACTGTCCTGTTTGATTCTGTATTGCCTGTCCCTTCCCCAATCTCTGTCATGCCAAATAGAGGCTGCCAATGCTGCTTGCAGCATTCATGCTGCAGTTTGGCCACCCCTGGCCTACACCAAAACTGTGACAGTGTCAATATGATCCTTAGCAGGATCATAGAAAATAAAAATGTACGCACATTGACACAATCTTCTTTTGTTTGAGATTTTGTTTCCAATTATTTGTGAGAAATGTAATCTTAGAAGATGCTCCAACTGTTTCCAAAAGCGAATTACACATGCACATGTGTGCTGCTAATAGAAGATAGGAGGGAGGATGAATGAACAGGGTTTGGGGGGAGAGGGCATGAAGAGAAGGAATTGTTGGTTACTTCTTGGTGCTGGGGGGCAGGTAATGTCATTAAAGGGGGGTGGTAAAGTCAGGCTACAGCCTTGAACCTGGGTCTGGATTTGCCTCTGCATTAGGGTGACATCCTCAGTGTCTTATGAATGAACTGAAGTAGGACCACCAGGGGAGATAAAGTCATGGCCTGAGGGTTTCATAAACTCAAGTTGTGGCACTGATGCACTTTTAAGTCATAGAGGTGATGTAGAGTATGGCTTAGGGAATGACACAAACCAAATCCTTGTGCATGATGCACACAGAGTCCTAGGGGTGACACACAATGAAGAAAGATGTAACACATGTTGTCCAGAGTAACTCTTGGAGATGTTGCACAGGGTGGCCTAGGGGTGATACACACATCACCTCTTGAGGTCCTGTTGGGATGTGCAGTGTGACTTCAGATGAATGCATGGGAAATACTGGTGTCATGGGTTTCTCAGGTCCTTATTGATCCTCAAGTGACTTGTATCCCTGAAGGAGTTTATGAGCCCACAGCTCATATAGATGGCTCTTTCAGTCCCCAGGTTCCTACACCTGGTCCCTGTCAAATGTTAATTCTAAGCCATTACTGCTTTCTGAAGTCTGAATAAGTGAGACCCCTTACGTAAATCACTGTCTCACTAAAACAGCCTTGGCTATAATTTAAGGATATGTCAAAATTACATTTGTACTGATACCACAATGTATAGAAGCATAAAGACAATGACGTTACATACAGCTTGATGTTACTCTTACACTGAAACTACAGAGGCAAAATTAGTAAAATAAACTAAAGAAATAATGAACCCCATGAACCCCCAGTTTGTAACAAACCGAGTCCCCATTTTTCTTCTACCAAAAGATCAGGGAATGCCACATGCTCACAAGGTAGGGTACACATTGAGTGAATAAGAGTTGCATGGATGGCATGGGCAAACCTAGGATTTTGAAAAGAGGGGTACAGATGGTGAGGGACATCATTGCATATAAGACAATACACATTTTTCTTTAGTGAAAAAGAAACTGGAAGTTGTATTAGTATTCAGGGAGTCTTGGGCTATGTTGTTCAGTTTATGATCTAAGCAAAAACAAATACAACTTCCTTGGAACGTGCATTAATTCACTATAGTATACATTATATATAAAAACAAAGTAAAGTAGACAAAAAATAAACTAAAGCTTTTGCTTCTTTTGTCCTGTAGCAAGGGACAGATCCAGAATTTCTCAAAGGAGGTGCAGCATCAGCTACCCCACTGCAGGGGTGGTTGCATCCCCTGCTCCCAGGATTTTCTTCCCTACCAGTGTGAGGAGACCACACTGTGGAACACTATAGGGAGTTTTTAAAACCCTAAAACAGGTGAAAATACCCCCTCCCTTCTCCTTCCTGCTCAGAGATGGCCCCCTTCCCTCCTCTTCCCCTCCCCATCCCCACCTGTCCCTGTTGCACTCTGCCTACAAGTACATCAGGCCAAGCACCAAGATCTAGGTGAGCAACTCTTCAGGAAGGCACCTCAAAGGAGGACAAGGACTAATGGGCACAAACTAATAGAGGGAAAATTTAGGCTGGACATAAGAAAAAACTTTTTTTCTGTAAGGGTTACCAGAATCTGGAACACACTCCCGGCAGAGGCGGTGTAGTCGCCATCCTTGGAGATGTTTAAGATGAGGCTGGATAGGCACCTTGTTGGGTTCATTCGAGCCAAATAACTTCCTGCCCGTGGCAGGGGACCGGACTTGATGATCTTTCAGGTCCCTTCCAGTCCTTCGATTCTATGATTTTATGAAGTTCTAGATCTAGCCAGGCTGAGCAGAGGTTGAGCTAAGCTGGGGACAGGACAGTGGCAATGGAGCCACTGGAGAGATCCTAGATTGTTCCCTCCATTGTGCCCAGTCACAGAGTAGGGAAGGGGAACCCTTGTCCATCCCTGCTGCCCTTGTCCCCATCCCACAACAGGCAAGCTCTGGTCCTTCTCTGTCCTCAGGACAACAGGGAAAAGTAGATGGAGGAGGAAAAGGATGGGCAGGGAAGGGGTGGAGAAGAGGCATTTATTTGATCAGGAAGGGGCAGGGAGAGAGTATTTTCACCTGCTTTACAAATTTAAAAAAATCCCTGGAGGCTCCTACAGTATGGTCCAGTCCAAAGGTAGTGCTGTCTTTCAGCACACAAGTCTCATGGAGCAGCATACCCATGCAGAATAACTTCAACCTTTATTAAAAATATTTACAAGTCATGTTCATATTAAACTAAAATAAATTCATATAGAAAAAAAATATATCATGTTGCATTGAACAAAAATGGGGATTTAGGACTACCTAAAGAGGCGGTAGTCATGGGGGACCTAAACTACCCGGACATCTGCTGGGAGTCACAGACAGCAAAGTCCCACCGCTCACGCAGGTTTCTAACCTGTGTACAGGACCTCCACCTGACACAGGAGGTACACAGTCCCACTAGGGGGAATGCCATACTGGATCTAGTATTGGCAAC